CTTAGCGCACCTTTTTTTAAAAGTCTATTTTTTTTGCATTTAATGACCGGAACTATTTAAAATTGTTGCAAAGAGCTCTAGAACTTTTCAAGAGAGTATCAAATCTTTAAAAAAAATGTCACATTTTTAAATATGGTGTGCCAAGTCTTGGCACACCATATTCAAAAATATGACATTTTTTTGCAGTTCTGATACTCTCTTGAAAAGTTCTAGAACTCTATGCAACAATTTTAAATAGTTCCGGTCATTCAATACAAAAAAATAGACTTTCAAAAAAAGGTACGCTAAGCTCACCCAGCGCACCTAATCAGTAAAATCAACTATTTCTTTAGAGTTCCGGTTTGTTTTACAATAGTTTTAGAGTTCTATATCATATATAACAATAGTTCTACTAATTAAAAGCGAAAACTCGATTTACGAAGACCTAATTCACAAAAGGTGAAATACCGACAAGAAAATAAAAGAGATTAACACTATTTCGCGAGTTCTGCATATTTGAACATATTTTCAACATTCACTTGTAATCAGGCTATGAAAATATGATGTTAGTCACCTAATAGCAATGGTCGCTAAATGGGACTCTTTACGTAAAAAGCCACCGAAAGTTCGTCAATTTTACATCAGGTCTATTGTTCAAATATATCAAATGTCTAATGTGCAGGATATTACGCACCTACTAAAATGTATTTTGACAGTAGCCTTAAGCCAAGAAATCGGCGTTACTGATTTAAACGATCCTGTACCCTCAGAACTATGCTTGCGGCATGTCAGTCTTATTATAAAACAAGGGGTGCTTGTTAATGATGTACAGAAGAGTGATAACGAAGTAGAGGAAGATGACTTTGAAAGAATTTCAGTATCCATTGATGGGACATCTTGTTGGAAAAAGTGGTCTGAAAACTTATTCACCACTGCTGAAACACTGACAGAACAATCAACTGATGGCAACGTAATCAATGCTTTATATAATCCAACAGCTGCAAACAAATTAAAAGATTTAATAACATTTTTACCGCTGTGGACCGGCATAATGCGTCCACATTTCAAAATAGACAATACAATAGCCAAAACATCGCTAGTTGAAGGGGCATTTTCAAATTTAAAGAACGTAGTTTTTAAAGGTAAGTTACCAATGAGAGTGGGTAAGTTCGTAATTGAACATCTTAACTATCTCGATGGGAAGTTAAAATTAGCTTACGCCGAACACAATACAGTTAAAAATGTAACCTCAAACCATGAAATTACAAGCCTACAATCAGATTCTATAGTTAAATCTATATCCATGAAAGCTTTATAAATAATTTATTACCGCAATCGCGCAGAACTCTTTATATTTTCATTTCCTGATTACAAGTGAACGTTGAAAATATTTTTAAACCGACAGAACTCTCAAAGCGTAGGTAGCGCACCCTACCTGCTCGTAGATGTACGCGACTTCGAATACTATACAATTTTTTATAAATAAATTATTACTGCTGTCACGCAGAACTCTTTGGATATTCGTTTTCTGATCATAAGTGAACGTTAAAAATATTTTTAAACCAATGGAACTCTCAAACTGCGGCTAGCGCACCCCAGCTGCTGGTACATTTACGCGACCTCGGACACTATATAATTTTTTA